ACAATCAACTTATCCCTTACTACATCATCAATGTAGTAAGATACCAGAACTAACTGTACAATAGATGTCTAGAATTTAGAGACATCTTTCAGATTAAACAAAGGTTTATAAACTGTGACTATCCACTGTAACATAAAAAGTGCCATCTGTTACTACATCATCAATGTAGTAAGATACCAGAACTAACTGTACAATAGATGTCTAGAATTTAGAGACATCTTTCAGATTAAACAAAGGTTTATAAACTGTGACTATCCACTGTAGCATAAAAAGTGCCATCTGTTACTACAGCAAATCTAATTAAGCAGCTCTCTCTTAAGACAACTACAATGGTATAAGAAACATAATCATTTTACACTTTATTGTAGATAAAAGGTATATGTTTTAAGTAATATGCTACATATATTTATAACAAGCATTAATATGAAATAAAATATGGAGCCTACAATACTTATTTTCATAAAACTGAAATTGTTTTACTAAACTTTTTTCTTTGAGCAATTTAGTTCCAATTAAGTTTAAATCAATCACTATTAGCTAATATTGTATATAAACAAGACATTAAAAATAAAATGCTTGTAAAAAAAGAAAATTCTTTAAAGATTTAGTATGCAAATAAAAAGAAACAATAAGTTAAAGAATCAACTTTAACTCTTCCCACAATGTTTTCCAAACTTTAGAGCATGCCCCCTGGGGGCACATACTGGTGGCTGGGGGGCACTTCTTTTTCGTGGGATGAAGTTTTCACTTTTTTGCCCATCTCAGACACTATGAGTTGATCATAGTTTAAGATGTAGTGACGTAGCTAGCTGATTGTTCAGCTTAGGTTGTAGGTTATTAATTATGAGTGCTTCCTATTTTATTAGGGTCCATTCATATTTTGCTGAGTCTGTTATTCTGAAGTTTCACTGTTCAGTTTTTCGTTACAGTCTTTGCTTAGATGGTTGTAAATTCTTGAGTTATTGAAAGGGATGTTATGCACATCCTCCTTGATTCTGGTAGCTAATGTTCAAGTCATTGACCCAATACAGACTTGCATGCAGCAAAAACACAAATATTTGTATTCTACCAGTGATTTTTTTGAAGGAGGTATTTTGTCTTTAAACAGGAACAAATTGCATATCTATTTGTTAGGTTTGAAGATTACTCTTAGTCTGACTTGGGGATAAGTTGATTGTAGAATGCATTTGTTAGGTTTGAAGATTACTCTTAGTCTGACTTGGGGATAAGTTGATTGTAGAATGCATTTGTTAGGTTTGAAGATTACTCTTAGTCTGACTTGTGGAAAAGTTGATTGTAGAATGCATTTGTTAGGTTTGAAGATTATACTTAGTCTGACTTGGGGATAAGTTGATTGCAGAATGCATTTGTTAGGTTTGAAGATTACTCTTAGTCTGACTTGGGGATAAGTTGATTGTAGAATGCATTTGTTAGGTTTGAAGATTACTCTTAGTCTGACTTGGGGATAAGTTGATTGTAGAATGCATTTGTTAAGTTTGAAGATTACTCTTAGTCTGACTTAGGGATAAGTTGATTGTAGAATGCTTTTGTTAGGTTTGAAGATTACTCTTAGTCTGACTTGTGGAAAAGTTGATTGTAGAATGCATTTGTTAGGTTTGAAGATTACTCTTAGTCTGACTTGAGGATAAGTTGATTGCAGAATGCTTTTGTTAGGTTTGAAGATTACTCTTAGTCTGACTTAGGGATAAGTTGATTGTAGAATGCATTTGTTAGGTTTGAAGATTGCTCTTAGTCTGACTTACAGATGGCATTTTTTATGTTACAGTGGATAGTCACAGTTTATAAACCTCTGTTTAATCTGAAATATGTCTCTAAATTCTAGACATCTATTGTACAGTTAGTTCTGGTATCTTACTACATTGATGATGTAGTAACAGATGGCACTTTTTATGATACAGTGGATATTCACAGTTTATAAACCTTTGTTTAATCTGAAAGATGTCTCTAAATTCTAGACATCTATTGTACAGTTAGTTCTGGTATCTTACTACATTGATGATGTAGTAACAGATGCCACTTTTTATGTTACAGTGGATAGTCACAGTTTATAAACCTTTGTTTAATCTGAAAGATGTTTCAATTCTAGACATCTATTGTACAGTTAGTTCTGGTATCTTACTACATTGATGATGTAGTAACAGATGGCACTTTTTATGTTACAGTGGATAGTCACAGTTTATAAACCTTTGTTTAATTTGAAAGATGTCTCTAAACTCTAGACATTTATTGTACAGTTAGTTCTGGTATCTTACTACATTGATGATGTAGTAACAGATGGCACTTTTTATGTTACAGTGGATAGTCACAGTTTATAAACCTTTGTTTAATTTGAAAGATGT